ATGAATTTGCTAAATTGAATTTAAGTAATGATAGCTTATTAAATTATGAAATATAAGGTAAATTAAGTAGTTAGTTAATTGAAATCTATTAATTTAATTATGATTATTAATATTAATAATAATAATTTTCACCATTTATTAATTATTTTCATTATTAATAATTTATTTGTTTATTTTTATTATTATTTCTAAAGAGTTTGAAATAAATTTGATTAATTTCTTTTACATTTTTATATTTGAATAATTAATTTAATACATAATTTTCTTGATGTCAAAAGTTAAAATCATCTCAAGGTCAAATGTTAAATACAAAATGGACAATACCAAATTTCACTTTTGAAATAAAAGTCAATAAATTCTTTTTGGTGTTGATTGTATTGTTGTGTTTTTGAAGCTAATTCATTATTCAAAGTCCCAAATCAAAGGATCAATAATGAGGATGATGAGGATGGGTAACATAAAGTTTTAACTGGATTAAAAATTCATTTTAACAAAGGAAAAAACGCATTAAAATTCACTATATGTAAAGGAGCATTTTGGACTTACTTTTTATTCCAATCATTTATATTACACTCAATATTTTTACTGTAGGAAAAATTAAAGAATTGTGATACCAAATTCCCAAGAGAAACACAATAAAGCATTTATAATATTAATATGTTAAAAAATCAAATTTTAAGATACCACAAAAAGGAATGTTGTTGTGTCAAAAAATACAAATTTGTTATATACTACTTAATTTTTTTAAAAAATAAATATTTTGTTTTTTAAATTTTGTGGGGATATATAAATGAGTATATTAACTGTTCGGATGTGGGATATAAATGAGGACGAAATTAAGAGGGGGTATAATGTGTGGGGAAGTTAACAGCAAAGACAGAAGAGAATTAGTACTTAAAAAGTTGCAATGAAATGGTTAGTATTGCTCATTTTGCTTTTCCAAACTGCTTCTATTTCTGACGGAGAAAATAAAAAAAGTTATCAGTCAATGAAAACAAAAAACAATTAGAAAATGAAAATGAATTCCAAATTTGGTGACTCCATAATAAATAACTCAGAATCGCATGCTTGCAATATTTATAGGCCATAATAATTTAAATAATTATGGCATCATGATTTTGCGGTCTAAGGCTTTTACGACTTTTAGAATGTTACGTCGAATTTATTTATGTAATGCTGAATTAATATTAATTTTTTTTTTTAAATAATATTTTTGTGATACATGTTTGTGGCGGAAAAAAAGTTCTTTAGAAAAAAATTTTTTTTTTTAATGATACGGCGACCACCGAGATCTACACTCTTTCCCTACACGACGCTCTTCCGATCTCATATGATAAAAAAGGAGAAAAGAAACATGAAGAAGAGCATGAGGGTATTGTTAGTGGAGTAACATCAATAATTGGATCAACATTTAGTGGATTCTTTGGAAAACATGATACTAAATCAGTTGAAACCACAAAAACTGTAATTTCCAAACAAACCAATGAAGGCTCATTTTGTATTTCCGACACACTTTCTGAAATTCTTGACATTTCCTCGGATACAAAATCTCAATCATTCGAATCTACCATTCAAACATATGCTGTCAGCGAACGTCTCAAGAAAACTACTACACATACCACCTGGTGGACAACTGCAATAACCATTAGTTATCTTAAATTGCATGCTTCCTCTCATGAAACAACTTGGAAAGTTCAATATGAAAAGGCCAGAAAATATTTAAGTGAACAGATCAAAGACGTTGAACTTGAAGAAGAACTTTTGAAAACTTGTTCTAAAATTGTTGAAGAAAAAACAACCAAAAAAGTTACCACTGATACTAAAACCATTGTCGTCGAACATACTACCGCTGAGAATATTTTTAGTGGAGTGACCTCAACTAAAACTGTTTCTTATAAACAAGATGGGTACATTAATTCAGAATTGATTGTTGTCGGTGCAGCTTGTTATGCAAAATGTAAATGTACAAAACATTTTACACGAACCAAAGAAGCATTTAGTAAAGAAAAGGCCAACGAAATTATTGCTCAATATGCAACTGAAGAAGTTGAAAGATTACTTTCTTCTAATCCTACTCGTGATAATAAGGATGATATTATCAAACGTGCTAAACAGGCGGCTAGCTTTATTATTGATGAATAACATTAATTCAGAATTGATTGTTGTCGGTGCAGCTTGTTATGCAAAATGTAAATGTACAAAACATTTTACACGAACCAAAGAAGCATTTAGTAAAGAAAAGGCCAACGAAATTATTGCTCAATATGCAACTGAAGAAGTTGAAAGATTACTTTCTTCTAATCCTACTCGTGATAATAAGGATGATATTATCAAACGTGCTAAACAGGCGGCTAGCTTTATTATTGATGAATATATTGTTAAGACTGGTGGAAAAGAATGTTAAATTTTCATATTTTTTGTGGTATAGTGATAGCGATCTTTAAATTGGGTTATATTAATTTTAGAAATTTTTCAATAATTTATTTATTGAAGATTTGTATATTATATTTATTCATTATTATTTTTATTATTATTAAATAAATTTAAATAAAGACATCAATTCTTTATATAAAAAAACTGTGCTTTTTCAATTGAAATTAAAAATCATTATTACATTTGAAAACAAGAAAAAAAAAACAACGCGTAAAATATTAAATTAATAGAGGATTATCATGCTAACAATATTTATTTTGGATACAATAAAAAATTAACTATTATTTTAATTAATCAAACATTTCTATTTATATGATCGTTTAAATTCTAATTTTTATTTTACGAGTTATTCTTTTTTTGTGGAGATATTCACTTCTCACGAGAGCCTCCCCCTTGTTTTTCGTCACTACGAACAGTTCCACGTTCAGATTTAACTGGTCTGTACTCTTCACGTTTCTCATGAGAGCCTCCACCTTGCTTTCCGTCATTACGATGACGCCCA